CACCCGACCCCGTCGTCCCAAACGCTGAGATATATATAGTGTGTGTCTGTATTGGCGTTGAAAACGTTGCGTAGAATTAAATTCTTGTCATTAATTCAATTGTTGTATTCATTACTTCACCGAAAGTTTGTTCACATTTTTAGTCTATAACAGAATTATCTCTTATTTTTTTTATTAATACATGTTTTGGTCTTATTTTTAAAACTTCATTAGTTTTTCTGCCCTTTAATTAAAAATATAAACAAATTATTATTATATATTGACAACAAAAAATGAATCGCCTTTTTATAAAAGTATTACAAATTGACAAACAATTTTTTTTTCTGATTGCATTCAAGCAATTGTATTAATAATAATAAAATGAATTGTCATTTAAACTGTAAAAGTCAGGTATACTGTACAGTAGTTATCGGTATATTTGAGTGAATTGTATATCGTATGAGAATTAATCCAATTATAAGTCATTCCAAACGTCTTGAACACATGAGACGGCTATTAATTTAACACAAATTTTGTTCATTTAATTCATTAATAACTCGATTTGAAAGGGTATTAACCACTGAACGGTCGGTTGACTTGTAGTATAATTTAATTATGAAAAAATGTGCGCTAATATTGTACTCGTGTTTAATGATAACTAAAATATAATATAAATATACATATTATTAGTTGATTTTATTTACAACAACACAAATGCAAACAAACAAATGAATTGTAATTATATTTCGAAATGAATAAAATAAATAATCATTTGATTACTTAAAAGTGTTCATGTTTTTCAAAACTCTAATCAAATCTAAAACTTTGGTTAAATAAATGCTTAAACATGTAGTAATATCGCGATTTCACTTAACATGACCCTGGTGCTCTTGAAAAATAAATATTTTCTATTATCAGTCCCTTAATTACTTGGCAATTTTGATTGCAATTAATTTAAAAGTTGAAATATTAAACAATGTGTTTATATCATATAAATTTGTTAACATTTTAGTAATTATAATAGCATTTAAATTTTAAAATCAAGTGCCCATTCAATAGTATAGTATTATAATTAGCATATCTAAGAATATTCTATGATTATGTGAACAAATTAGTTATACGGTACATTAAATTAAAGTGATACTGTATATACTATAATCACAATATACAGTATATACAAAACATTAATTTACAGAATATTCTTGTAATTCATTGTCAAATTCAATCATTTTATTCAACGATTTCTATAATTAAAATTTTACAATATTTACATTCATTGATAAACTCACTAATAAAGCAAAACATAGTTTGTAGTCAAACATATCATAATTACAAATATTTTAAGAATTACTGTAAAATTTATTATCAAAAAACACTATTAAATAGAATAATGACTTAAATTTCATGAATATATTACTCAAACAACACAAAAATCACTCAAACCCTCAGATTGTACTGAAGTTTGAGCCAATCCTCGAGCCGTTGCCTCACTTTCCTCTTATGGGACAACTCAGTGACCGCTTGCGTTACGATCGACTCGTTTTTCCTCAAATACTTCTTGGCGTCGGCCTTCATCTGATCCAACTTTTCCGGTCGATTCTCGTCAATAGTTCCGTGTTCTGTGAGAAACGGATTAATCCTGTAATAGCTCTTCTCGGGCAACAGGTCTCTCATCAGCCGGTGAACCATTTCGGTGTCCGTCGCGCTGTCTATCAGTTTAATGATCTTCGTCTTCAGGCTCGTCAACGGCGGCGCGCTCTGGGGCTCGACGTGCGGCACAAACCTCCCGCTGCCCACAGACAGCACGCACTGGATCTGCTCGGCGGGCCACAGGAGACGGGCCTCGTGTACGGCCACCGCCGTCGGGTTGTTGATGAGTAGGCCTCCGTCCTGATGCACGAGACGGTCGGCCCGGAACTCCTCGAAATATCCGGGAGCGGCGGCCGATGCCCGCACGGCCTCCCATATCTTGTAGGCGGAGCTGCCGTCGTATTGGCTGAGCGGCCGCCTGTGCACCGGGAGCTCGTAGTTGCGGAACACGAACGCCTCGAGCGACGGCTTATTCATGACGGCGCTGACGGCCAACACGTTGGGCGCGCCGGGCGTCTGTCGCGTCTCCAACAGCCGCGTCTCGCCGTAGATGTCTTTGAGGATCTTCTCCCAGACGGCGGTGTCGTAGTAGGCGTGCGACCAAATCAGACGTCCGGCCCCTCGGAAGAAGTCCGACTTAAACAGATGGGAACTGAAGCGGTGGTAGTAGTGCTCGCACTCGTCGATGGGTGTGCGCAGCGCGCCCAACAGCATACCGATGATGGCGCCGGTGCTCACGCCGCAGATCAGGTCAAACATCTCGTGTATGGGACGACCGCTCAGGCGCTCCAATTCGCGCAGTATTTCAATGACTAGTATTCCGCGCGTGCCTTAAGAGACGCGAAAAAACAATCGTATCATTGGTTTTGGGATTCAATTCAATTGATAACTACTTCGCGGACACTATATATCCGTGACTATTATCAGGTATGCGTACCTCCGCCGTCGATACTGAGTATGCGAATACCGGTGCCCTTTGGCGGCTCGCAGTGACCTAATTGGGCCAACACTTGGCACGAGTGCTGGCGCACCACCGGGTCGTCCGACCACTGATTCAATTGTAAGATCTGTTTCACGGCTTTCTGAGAGACGGCGTATTCGCTGGACTCGGGATAAGTCACCAGAAGTTTACTGAACTCTTGGAGTCGACGCCTCGTATTGACGGTGGAGTCCGAGTGAGACATCGCTCGCAACAACTGTTTCGACCGCATCTCCACACCAGATCTCGACGCTATTGGCT